TTAAAAACTAATAGTAATTGTAAATTAATTCAGTTATTGAAAGAATTTATTGCAATAAAACATGAAAGAAGTACAGAAGTTGGTGATGATAATAATTTAGAAGAAATTAATGATATAAAAAGAGCTGTACAGAATACTAATATAATTTCATTACAAAAAGATTTAATTAATCAAATTATTGATTCTAGTATTATTAAAATTTGGAAAATTACTTTTAAAAGAAGATTAAAGAGTATGTTAGAATTGTTAAAAAGAAAAATTTTAATATAAAAAATTACAGATAGAAACAAATGATAATCAAATTACAAGAATACAGTGAAAATATCTTTTATATAGTTAATTTAAATATTACCAAAAAAAAATGTCTAATCAGTAAAAGATAAATATAAAAATATTAATACAAAATATAATATATAAATATATATAGATTTATTAAGGTATTTGATGATTTAATATCAAGAAAATAATATATATATGTGCATTTATTAATTTATAATTTAATTGCATCACAAATTACTTAATTGAAGTGAATGTGAAAATGTATAATAATATAATGCATTTTTTTAAAAGGTTTAAAAAAAACCATATAAAGACTAGCTATTTTTTGGTAAATAAAGGTTTAAAAAGTTAGGAAAAAAATGTGTTTTTTTTTATATTATTTCTTTTAATAAAATTTAATCATTTTTTACTTAATAGCTATAATAAAACATTTATTAGAAAGAGAAAAAAATTCTACATATGAGCACTTTACAGTAGAAAGAGATGAAACTACTAAAAAAAATAAAAAATAAGTTAATATAAAATCTGAAAAAATTATAGCATTTAAAATATTTTTAACATATAAAAGAAAATTTGAATTTTTTCAGTAGTTTTATTTTTTTTTACTATAAAGCGCTTATATTATTTATGTATTTTACTAAAAATAAAAAGAATATTTTAAATTACTTTTAAATTTTAAGATTTTTCATGTAAAAAATTTAAATAAAATTACAAAATCAAAATCACATAATTAGGTGATTTTTACTTAAATAAAATTTTTTTATATTTTTAAATTTAAGTATATTTTAATAAAAATTTTTTTATAAAATTAATATATAATCTAAAATTTTTAAAATTCAAATTTAACTATTAGAACTATTAATTTCAGCATTTTTTTTTTTTATTTTTATATATAAAAATGCTAAAACTATTAGTTTTAGTTTTGGCATTTTTTTTTGCATTTTTTATAGCTATATTTATTAGTTTTAGCATTTTTTTTCATATTTTTTTCATATATATGATTAGAAAATTTACAGATATTATGTAATTATTAAAAAGGAGAATTAAAATCTTATATTACACTTAATAAAATCATATAATTTATAAATATTATAATTTAANACTTAAAACTTTTCACTAAATAAGAATTCACAAATAGTAAGAAATTAGCAATAGTTTTCTAATTTGAAACACTGTTGTATAATTTATAGTATTGTAATTTTGCTATATATGGTTTGATTAGAGCTCCGAAACCTGACCCGACAGATCGGGTGACCTGACGAGTTGACCTGAAATATTCAGGTCAGGTCATCAAATTCATAACCTGACACGGGTCAGATCAGTGCTGGTCGGTACCTGACCCGACCCGTTGACCTGACATATATTTGGGTCAAATAAATTAAATAACGCCAAAACTTATAATGATTCCGGCATTTTTACATGTAAAATCAAAAGAAAAACGCCAGAACTAATGATTCCAGCGTTTTTACATGTAAAATCAAAAAGGAAAAATGCCGGAACTAATGATTCTGGCATTTTTACATGTAAAATCAAAAAGGAAAAATACCGGAACTAATGATTCCAGCGTTTTTACATGTAAAATCGAAAAATAAACGCCGAAACTATCAGTTTCGGCGTTTTTACATGTAAAATCAAAAGAAAACTGCCAGAACTAATGATTCTGGCGTTTTTACATGTAAAATCAAAAAGAAAAATGCTGGACCTAATGATTCCGGCGTTTTTACATGTAAAAACGCCGGAATCATTAGGTCCAGCATTTTTCTTTTTGATTTTACATGTAAAAACGCCAGAATCATTAGTTCTGGCAGTTTTCTTTTGATTTTACATGTAAAAACGCCGAAACTGATAGTTTCGGCGTTTATTTTTCGATTTTACATGTAAAAACGCTGGAATCATTAGTTCCGGTATTTTTCCTTTTTGATTTTACATGTAAAAATGCCAGAATCATTAGTTCCGGCATTTTTCCTTTTTGATTTTACATGTAAAAACGCTGGAATCATTAGTTCTGGCGTTTTTCTTTTGATTTTACATGTAAAAATGCCGGAATCATTATAAGTTTTGGCGTTATTTAATTTATTTGACCCAAATATATGTCAGGTCAACGGGTCGGGTCAGGTACCGACCAGCACTGATCTGACCCGTGTCAGGTTATGAATTTGATGACCTGACCTGAATATTTCAGGTCAACTCGTCAGGTCACCCGATCTGTCGGGTCAGGTTTCGGAGCTCTAATCAAACCATATATAGCAAAATTACAATACTATAAATTATACAACAGTGTTTCAAATTAGAAAACTATTGCTAATTTCTTACTATTTGTGAATTCTTATTTAGTGAAAAGTTTTAAGTACTTTAGTTTAGATAATAACACCAAGTTTCTCATCTTTCTTCTCTTCCTTCTTTACACTTTATATACATTATATTTAGCTTTACAGATGAATATAAAACTTCTTGAAGCAGATATTAAAATTACTTTTAAAAAACCAGCTGAATTAGTATTATCATTACAATAAATCAGTAATATATCTATTATTTAAGAAATTATATTGATGAATATAAAAATTTTGGATAAACTAGTGTACCAACCAATAGTTATATTATAATTAATAATAATGAAATTTAGATATAAAAGCCACATTTTTTACTTTAAAAGGCAAGAATAAGCCAATTAGTTATATAGAAATAGTCAAATAAAATGCAAATAATAATAACAATAAATTTAGCTTACCATTCCTTAATAATAATACTGTAAATAAAAAATATTAGTACTAGAAGCATAATATATTTAATATGGGGTCTTTGCAATAGAAAAGTATGAAACTCAAAAAAAATTTTAATATGCTAATTATGTTTTTTTTACTGAAATAAATGCAAATTTAATATTAATTTAATTTTTAATTTTTTTTGAGTTTCATACCTTTCTATTGCAAAAACCCTATATGTCTTCAAAAGTAAAGGAAAAGACTATATACATTTCCAAAAAATATATTTCAACAATTATGATTAAATATTATGAACTACTAAGAATTAAATTTATAAATTAATTATATATGATATTCTTTTCACTTAGTTTCAATTCAATATTTTTAATTACCTAAATAATTGAAATTATATAATCATGATAAAAATTAAGATACAGAAGAAATATATTTTAATTATTATATTGATAGATCTTTTCCCTCTTATTAGAATATTCAAAAAAAAGGATTTATATTATAATATAAAGAAGTATAAATAGCTTCTCTTGAAAAACTCCTTGTTAAATAGTTTTTAGCATCTTAAGATTTGAAATAATGGAAAAAGTAAGAATAATTTTAAGTAGTTTTGGTGGATATTTTTAATATTAATACTATTAATATTTTATATTCAGATAATTTACTTGCAGTCTTGCACCTATCTATTGGATGCAAAGTATTTAAAATAGTTTAAAATAAAAAAAGATGCAAATTAATTATATATTACAAATCATAGGAGACTTGAATAGAGTTATCAATATAAATTTCACTTTACATGAAGTCACTAATACTTAAAAAATATACTTTTTATTTAACTTGAACTAATCTAAAAATCAACCATTAAAAAGAGATTATTAATAGAAGAAAAACCAAAATAATACTCTTAAAAACTTGCAAAAATCTATTAATAAATATGCAAACAATAATGAGTCAAAAAAAAGTAAATCTGTCAAAAAAAATAAAAATAAAAGTTTAGTATTTTACAAATTATACTACAGTCAGACCTCTATATATTAATACTATTGTTTTAGAGAAAATATATCAGTATATCAAATTATCGTTATATATACCATCATTAGTAAATTATAATGCAGACTAAAATCCAATTTTTGCCAGCATTATGCAAACTTTGAATAGCTAATATATTAAAATATCATGTGATTTTGATGAAATCTAATGTTAACTCTGGCCAAATTTATAGTGGTAGCTCGAATTAATACCAGTGTAATCTAAAGTATTGGTACATCTTACTATGTATTAATTATAAAAGGGCAAAGAAAAGTATCAGTACATGTTACATTGTGAAACTATATATAATATTGGTACAATGAGATTTTTTATTAATTATAAAATGGAACATAAAAAATTTATTGGTATAAGCAATTATCAGTACATAAGATATCGGTACATAAAGGTCTGACTGTATACTAAAATCAGGTATACTAGAGGTAAAGAAAGATTTTAATATATATAGTGTAATATAAAATTTTATATATTACATGAAGGTAGAAGATTAAGTTTATAATAAATGGATATTATATAATAAATATCACTGCCTTGACTATTATCCTTATTTTTTCATTTTCATTTTTTTTTTTTATCTTTCTTTACTTTTTTAGTTCATTTTAGTATAATTTTATGACAGTGTTATTTGAATATTTCTATTGTACAGTAGAAGTGAGGTTTAATGTAAAATTATATGTTAAATATAACTGTTAAATTTTTTAATAAAGTTATACTTTGAAATAAAAAAAAAATTCTTTAAATAAGATTTGATTATATATATCAGTTATATATAAAATATTAATTTTAACCAATAAAAATACCTAATTTTAGCTAATAGCTAATATATATTTACTTTATTTTAATTAATTATATTATTATAAAAAAAAAAATCAAGATTAAAAAAATTATTTACTAATATGTTTATTATTAATGAATAAAATAATTAATTTAATGTATTTTTCATTACAATTTTTTTTTTTTAAAAAAAAAAATAATAGTATAAAATCAAGAAAAAAAAATAATAAAAGTACTAAATTTTATATTCAATTATAAAATGATGAAAAAAATAGCATATGATTGAACTATTGAATTTAATTCCTTACATAATATTGAGTATACTACTTACATGGAAATTCTATTCACAAATATGCCTTTAAAAGTAGGGTTTTTTTTTTCTTTTGTTCACCCTCTTTTTTTATATGACTTGCATACAAGAGTCCAGAAAAAAGAATTGATCAAAAGCAAAACTAATAAAGTCATCATAAGGAATAAAATATCATATTGATAAAATGATAATAGAATAATGTAAATAAATTGAAAGTCTATGTCCATATGGTAAAATATATAACAAAAAAAAACGAACAAACATAATAAAAAATAAATTAGTAAAAATGCAGCCAACCCATGTGATCAAAATAGAAATAAAGAAAAATTAAAGTTCATACTAAAGAAACTATTTAATATTTCTGCAGGCTTCCAGATAAAATTTCCTGTTGAAATTCGCTATTCAATTTTTCTTCTTCAGAATTAATAGCGGGTTGCAACATTGGTTTCTGCCTATCGCGTGGTAAAAAGTATTTCGCATAACCCAATATTGTAAGCGTTACATTAAGTGGCAAGAAAATAACTTGCATCATACTACGTGAAAGTGTCGCTGCTTGCTCTTCTTGTAACTTATAAGCAATAAATGTATCATATTCTCGTAATTTTGTTTCCAAATAAGCAAATCTTTCTTCTGAATAATTTCGAAGATATTGTTCTTTTTTCTCATATCTTCTTACTGCTTTATTCAGCTGTGAAAGAGTAGGTTCAAATCCATCTCTAACATTGCTAATGTCACGTTTTGTAGCAAATCCGCGACGCAATTGAGAAAACTCATATTCCAAGTGTTGTACGCGTCGTTTTAATAATTCAACTTCTGTACTTGGATAATGAACTTGCTCTTGAAGGTGCAAAGTTCGATTTTTTGCAAGACTAGCAATGTGCATTAAAGGACGGATACCCGCAGCAAACACAAAAAGGACAATATTGAAATGGGAAATGTACTTGTCATAATTCAAATACATTTTTGCCCCATGCAACGCATAACCTCCAATAATTGGCGAGGCGACTACGAGCAATAAAGCCCACATTTCTTGACGACGAAGCTCTTTAGCAGCCTGACTTCGTTGTTGTTCTTGAGCTGGATCTGCAGTCTGCCCAGAAAGATTCTCATTCATAACACGTCTAGTTCTAGCTGCATAATAAAGTTCCCAAGGTACTAAAAATAAATAGAGAATTTTTTTTTTTTAGTATAAAAAATAATAATTTTAAGTCTAATAAAGTAAAAATTTTTTTTTTTCCATACCTTTGATAATATTGTAAAGATAAAATGCAATCAGTAGTAATAGCAGGAAATCACTCCATACATCAGATTTGCCATAAATAAGAGCACCCATTGGTGGTATTACAGCAAAAGCAATGGGCCAACTGTAAGCATGAGAAGAGAATGAATTGGATGTAGGATCTTTCATCGATTCCGGAGGACCTGTTGGTATTTCACTATTATTTGATTTCTCTCGATGTTGTTGTTTACGATCATTCCTTGATGAATTTATTGATCGATTTTGGTTATTTGGATGTGTGCCTTCATTATCATTATCATCATTATTATTAGATAATATATGCATAGTATTATGTGAATTTGTCATACTGATTATAGAAGGAGTTGAACCATTATGAGATACTGGTAAGGACATGTCAGAAGCGTCACCAAAATTAAAACTATTTGAATTGGTTTTATTTTTAGTTTTTCTAGATCGAAACTGTTTATCAACTAATAATTCTGGGTGTAAATTAAAGCCGGAAGTATTGGTTGCCGTAGGAGTTGGAGGTTGAGGTAATTGACTCCCAAGCTTTTGTGCGGCAATTAGCTCTTGGATACTTAAGTCTTCGTCCTTGTCATATAAAGCCTGCGTCGTTTCGGTAAGTGTCATTAGTTCTCTTTTTATTGTTGTTATTTGAACAAAGACTTGTAAGATTCTTTCCCAAGAGCTTAAAGAGACTAAGAGGACTAATAATAAATATAAAGAATTAAAATATTATCATTTAATGTATGCTACCTTAAATAGCATACATACCTTTTAATTTAATTTATTTATTAATTTTAAAAACAAGTCTGGAATGATTTTTTTTTTAAAAAAAAAAAGGGAAGAAACGATTTTGAAAAGGAAAAATTTTTACGTTTCATAAAATAGATAAAGTAGATGTTATTCTAACTATAAATATATAGTCTATTCTACAAATATATTTACTCCCAGCCAGTCCCAGGTGCGAACCATGTGCTTGGATGATCCATCGATCTTGGGCGCAGTTTTGCTGAAAACCAACAAATTTGGCACAGATGGGCAACTCGGGCTGGTTTGGGTGAGTAATAAAAGTAACCTAATTAGTCAATTTATATGTAATTAAAAATTTTAGATCAGTGGGAATTCTTATAACAGTTTAAACTAATATTTTATTCTTAACTCTTTTTTGAAATTAAAGAAAAATAAATGAATTTATTAAAAGTTTTTTGAAACAAATGAAATTTTCTATTTATATTTTTTATCAAAAGAATTACAAAATGACAAAATGACATAACAAATAAAAAAAAATTTAATAAACATATATTAAAAATGATATAAGATTTAATTTGGACATATGAATGTGCGTGAGAGAAATTAAAAAGTTGGTTACACAATTAGGAATATTATCTACAATTAATTATAAATTAAACTTTACCCGCTATTATTACTTTTTTTGATTATTATACTGATACATCATTTGCCGATATTTAGCTTCAAAGGATTCCGGATCCTTTATATTTTTCATAGCTTTCCAATAGATATTACTGGCTTCTGTTATTTCTTTATTATTTAAATAAAATTGTATGAAATCAAGCCATAAATCTATTATTATATATAAAAAGAATTTTTACCAAAAATTATTAATATGAATAATATGTAAAAACCATAATAAAAAATGTAGACGAACCACTCGGAGTTTCCTTAAATCCACATGCTTGTTCATATAGCCAAATTAAATGAGATTTTGAATCAGATATTGTAGATATTGATTCTTTTTCTAAATATTCCTGTTCAATTTCTATACAATCCTTATAAAATTTCAGAGTCGGTAAGGTTTTATTAAATAAACTAAAGCATAAATTTTATTAAAAAAAAGCGTCAGATGTTAATACAAGTACTTCTAATAAAATAAGATATAAAATACCTCTTATAAACTTTACGGGCATTATCTAATCCTCCCTTTTCTACGGCCCATCTTAAATAACTTGTTATAATTTGATCTTTTACTTCATTAGGTTGATCATCATCATCATTTCTTCGATTATTTCGTGATAACGAAGATATTTTGGAGAGTGAATTCTATATCATAAATCGATATCAATTAATATATAAATAAAAAATAAAAACAATCATATATCTTATTACAAACCAATAACAATTTTTCTAACTCAAAATCTTTCAAATCACCATTCTTAAATTTTTTAAAGATCCAAGAAATATAGGAATCCCATAATATTAAAGAAGTAGGATTTAATTTAAGTGCTAATTTATATAATTCGTCAATTGAATCATTTTCTCCTTCGTTATCGTTTAAAGAAATAGTAATATTAATTCTTTTTTCCCATAATTTTGAACTATTGGGCCAAGTGTCCGTAGCTTTTGTTAATAATCCTTTCATTTTTATAGTATCGTTACTATTACTTTCTTCTTTTTCTAATATCCAATTTATCCAATCTAAATACATTTGTGATGACGCCAAGTTTGATTCTGAGGCTGTTTTATATGTTTTTAATAATTTTTTATTTAAAAAAGCAATCTATCGAAAATTCATAAATTTAGTTCTAAATTCCTTTTTGAAGAAGACAGGAAAATCTTTGACATACCAAATTAGGTTCGGAAACCATACGTGAATATTTTAATAAAAATTTCGAAAACAAGTACCACATTTCATCATTAGGCAATGTCTAAGGAAAAAAGTAATTCGTATTTTAAGTAATGTTGTAATGTTTACAACCGAAATATTTAATTGAACTTACATTACCTCAATGCATTTTTGAAACTCATCGATACTATTCTTAATAGCATGTACAAATTCGACACTCTGCACATCAGAAATATTAGCTACATGCCTTTCAGCAACATAAGATAAGGCTTCCGGATTATTCTCAAAATCTTTAAGTATGCTATAAAGGATTATTAAAATAATTAATTTTTAGAAAGAAGATAATAATTTTTTTTTTTCAAGTCACCTTTCATAAATTTCTTCCTGAATCGTATTTGTATCAGATAATTCTTGACAAACATCAATAAACTCTTTTCTAAAAGACAAATCATTAGGAATAGCTTTAATTGCGTTAGAATAAACAACCTTAGCGAGTTCTCCACGTAATAATAAATTATCATCATCAAGATTAGGTAAATTATCTAGTCCTTTTAATTCTAATTTTTTTGTCTTTAAAAAATCATCATCAGCAGTTATCTCAATAAAATTTTGTGAATCTTTTCGTTCTACGTTAGATTCATCATTAGATTCATCATTAGATTCATCATCTTTATTAGAAATTCCCAATATTTTTCTACGGGCTTTTATCTTTTCAACATATATTAACTCAAGTTTGAAATATTGATGCCATAATTGATGTGAATCGTGATTTAATCGAAGACCACGTTGTAAGAACACTATAAATAAAAAATATTAACATTTAGTATAAAGTATTATATATTATATAGAATTTTTAAAACTTACCTCTAGCAGACATTATATTGGTATTAATTTCATATTCATATTTTGATGCCATTATCCAAAACATAGGATTTGTCGGATGTAATTGTAATACACTATAATTAATATAATTAAATAATTTGATTAAAAAAAAACCTTCAAAAAAAATTTATAAAATTCAATTTTGAAGAAAAAAATATATTACCTCCCAAATATTTTACTAAGCATTTTATGATCTCCTTCATTTTTAGCATATTCGATATACTGTACCCATAATTTAACATCACCAGCAAATTTAATTATAGCCCTATCAAAGATATGATATATCCTTCGTTTTATTGAATAATCTGATATTGTAACTCTTCCTTTGATACCTATTATTATTAATTAATTTAAATTAGATTACATCCAAGTGATTGATTGTTAAAAAAAAAAAAAAAATCCTTACCTAACCGATTTTTTCTCTTCTTTTTTAATAAGTCTAAATTCATTTCATATTCTATATATTTTAAAAAATCAATTATTTGTGCTGGCCTTCTTTTAAGTGCATATTCAAAATTTGTTCGTTTCTTAACAATTGATTTTATTTCTTCCTAAAAAAAAAGAAATTTTAATTTTTTTAAACGCCAACAAGAAAACTCTTCCAGCTAAAAACTAACTTTTGTGAATATTTCTTTACGTTCCAGGTCCTCAAGTTCAGGGACCATTTGCTCAAGGTAATATTGTACTGTTTCCGCCATTTTTGACTAATAATGTTTCAACAGAACGAAAGAAAAAAATTTTCTGATAATCTAATATAAAAAAAGATCTGCGTAGATGATGATTGGACGATGACATTTTAGCTGTTAAAAAAATAACTTTCGTTTTTTTTTTGGATTACACTTAATATGTCCTTAATTCGCTCAACATATGCATTTACTCACTTTTCTAATAATAAAATTCTTTGCAAAAGTTCTTTTTTAATTTTTCGTTGCAAGTCAACTACAACAAATAATAGTGAACATTATAAGGGTCAAAAAGATGATTTTAATAAAGAAAATAATGTGGATAATGAAAACAAGAAATCACCTGCATCAATAAATACGATTATCAAAAATTCATTTATAAAAGATAATGATATACCCTGGACAGGAGAGGAAGATATTAAAACAACAGTATTAAGAATGATAGTGGATAAATATCCTCCATTAAAGATAAAAAGGGAAACGATTAAAGAATATATAGATGCACATAGTAAGGTAGTTAATTTTACGAACAAGGTGCATTTGGAACCCCCATTACAACCACCTGTTCCTGTACCTTCCAATAATATAGCATCAAATAAAAAATCAATATCAAAAGAAGAAAAACTAAAAAAAATTCGTGAAGCGAATCAATCCCGTATTATAAATGCGAAAGATGCCGCAACGGATTATTCAATTAAAAAAAAACTTGGTACACAGAATGATGTTGAGGAAAGTAGTAGGGATAAGCAACCACCGAAAGTTTTACCAAAAAGTATTGCTGGTTGGAACAATTTAGTGGAAAATCGAATTCAAGAAGCTATAGTTGCAGGAGAATTTGAAAATCTTCGTTATCATGGTAAACCTTTACCAACGGACCCTAATGATCGGGTAAATATCAATTGAGAAATAGCATATTTTGATAATTTTCTTTGTTTTTTTTTTTTTTTTCGACGCGAAACATTTTCCTAAATCTTTCTCATGATTTATCTAGAATCCTTATTTGGACCGTACAGAATTCCTCATGTAAGTGAACAATAAATATCTTCGATTCCCTATATATCTCGTCATTTCATATATGTATGTGTATATGTATATTTCTTTTTATTTTAGGAATCGAATTGTACAAAGACAAGGTTCAGCACCAGCATGGATAGAAGTTCAAAAAGAAGTAAATAATGAAATCTCTTTATTCCGTCAACGTATGCGTGAAAGTTGGTTACGTTATGCAAGTGCTAATAAGATTGATCCGCATAGTCGAAATATTTCTTGGGAAAATGATCAAAAATCGTATTTTGAAAAAACCATTAAAAAACTAAATAGTAGATTACGTTCTTATAATACCGTTGCTCCTTATGTTGTCCGACGTGGTTATTTAAATCTTAAATTGGAATTTGGGAGAATGTATCAAAATGTAAAACAAGATACTAATAACAAAACGAAAGTTATGAATAAAGGTGAAAATGAGAATAAAGATATTAATTTATTTAATGATAACGATAAATTAGAATTTAAGAAGGAAGATAATATATGGGAAAGTTTTGCTAAAAGTATTAAATGGATACTTGGGAGATAAATGGTGATAAATAAGAGTAAAAGTTCTGTCCCTAGAATACTTAATAAAAATATGCTGCAAGTGTGTGACATATACTGACCCGAAATCCTACGAATATGACGCGTGTAATTTATGATTGTCATTCAATTGAATCTCTCTTGGACCTATCCTATAAAATATTCATATGATTTTATTGCAAAAGTCTTTTTAATTATAAATTGATAAATGAATTCTTTCATTATTATTTATTATATGAAACTATTTAAAATTAAAGGTTAAACGTTTATTTTTTATTATGATTAACAGGATACATTATGGCTGAAAACCAATGGTTACACAATCTTCAATTTTTGGTTAGTTAAGAAATTTTATAATCGCGAATTTCTCAAGTTTAAATGAGTTAATCAATCCGGGAAAATAATAGTAAAAACTTTAAAAAAAAACTTTTTACAGTTAAATGAAAATCGCATCAAATATTTCATGCATTATCAAAAGAAGCAGGATTCCATATGAAGATCGTATCAATAAATAAAATATAAAATATTTAATGTATAAGTTCGTTTCAATTATATATTTATATAAATAATAATTTTTAATTAAAGAAATTTTCATCTTACATATTTAGATATTCGAGACAAAAAAAAAACAAGATTAATAATAATGTATTAATTAAAATTATTCGATTCGCGTAAAAAAATTCACATAAATCCAAAATAAGTTGTACTTCTTAACTTTTAATAGTAATTTATTGTTACATTAATAATGATCTGTTACCTATAATGCCAAAAATAGAATATCAGATCTTTTAGTATTTCGAGAAAAGATAAAAAAAAACTTATCGCAAATTATCGGAATTTCCCCGTACTTAAAAAAATTTTTTTTTTTTATAATAAATTAGTTTCACTTATTATAAGATCTGACGCGATTTTCCTTAAACTAAAACTATAAAAAATGAGAGATAGCAATTTTGGCCAATCAAATTTTAAATTAGGTTACACAATGAGCGATAAGCTATAAACCGTTGGTTTTTCTTACAGTTTAGTTAGACCTTTAAATATGCAAAAATAAAAATATTATTATAAAAAAAGTGTTGTCATTAAATAGTTTAATTAATAGCTTCTTATAGCTTATTTGAAGTTTGATATAATCTACGTCACGTGAATTTCTTACGCGAAGAAAGCTAGTTCTTTTGACCGATCCAAAAAAAAAGATAATCTGGACTTTGTTTATTTTAAGGCTAGTCAGGAGAATACATAATCTGGACTTTGACATTCTAATCATTCTAATTAATCATTCTAATCTGATATCACGTGATTTTATAAATTTTAAGGATGAAAAAAAGTGAGCTGTCATTCAATAATCTACATCACGAATCTTTAATGGCTAAACCCATTTGGTACAACGGAGAACTAATTTAGTTTTGTGCGTGAGATATTTTTTATATATCAAATTAACGTAAGAATTCTTTTTTAGGTTTTTTTTTATGGTTCATATGAATAACGAAAATTTTCAAGAACGTTATCATTACTTTAACAATATATTTTTTTTATTTTCTACATTATCACATTTACTTTACTTGGCAGTTCATTAATCATAATATTAAAGGGTCAAAAATAAATAAAAAAAAAAAATTTTTTTTTTTTTTTATTTTATTTTATTTTATTTCTGAATCAAATGTTCTTTATTGCACAAAAAGAAAAAAACTTTTCTCTATTTGTTCATATTAATTGTTATTGTGTAGTATTATTAATACCAAAATATTAATCAACTATGATTGTTTAAAATAATTTCAACATATATAGTTTCAATGAATTATAATTATAATACTATTATTATTTTCATAACTAATAAAATGTAACAAATATATATATTATAATATTATCTTCTAAATATCGAATAATAAATCTTTTAATAAATACGCTAATCCATTTTGGTAAAAAAAAGGTATATTATCAAATTACTCAATTTTAACTTCCACTCGTGTTACTACTTGATTTCATTATTTGTCACCTAACTTAATTCCGCATACTAATATTAAAAATCAATTAATCCAATTTTAGAATCATTACATAAAATGTCAAATGTCAAATTACTTTTATGAGATATTTTAGATAAATGAGAACAATCATTGTTCCATTATATTACTATTATATTATTATTAATTATTATATTATTATTATACTACCATAAACTAATAATTTTAGTATATATATATATAAAATAATAAATTAATATTATATTATACGTATAAAAATACAATATATTTATATATTTTTTTATTTTTAAATAAAATCTCAATTTTTTTTAAAAAAGATTCATCACGAAGATTTTTTTCTATTCATATATTCCCCAATAAATGATCCATTCTATTCTTACTTCTACTTTGTATATTTATGTATGATCGAAATCCAATGATTGAGTTCAAAGAAGATTATAAAAATTTTAATGACGACGCGTAAAAAAAAAAGCAAATTGAAACAAATGAAAATATTATGATTCTATTCTTAAAATTTTTTTTTTTTTTTTTTTTGTTAAATCTTCTTTGAACTTGTTTACATTATAAAGTGTATGTCTACCTCTACCTTAATAAAAAATTTAACGTAAAAGTTCCCTGATCTATTTTGCATAATTACCTAATCCTTGATCAGGTAAAGACTTTTTGGGAGCAATTTGAAGATGATGATGTGCATTCCAACAACTTGATGATGTGAATTGATGATATTGTTTCCCGCTGGATTGACGTGGAATTAATGGTGCAATTGGAACTGGTGGTGCTGGTGCTATATTTCTTTTTAAATGAGAATTGATTCCGTGTGATGTTGATGTTGATGTTACTAACTGTAAAGAAGAACTAGAAGAGGGAGGAGAGATAGGAGGAAGTCCATTCTTTTTGATTTCATAGATAGAATTATCAGTATTAATGTTTAAAAAAACAAAGAGAAAGTTTTATAATAAACTTACAGTTTTTAGTATAACGTCTTGTTTTCCTCCAATATTAGCCGCAGCGGTGATGATACTCTCAATACCACAATTATTATTGTTAGCCTGTAAATTTTTATCATTTATGGAAATTTGATGGTTTGATATCTTCTTACAGCTTCTTCCGTCGTTGTTATCATTATTATCGCTAATTAATCTTTTTCTTACAGTTTTCTCTGGTGGTGGATAAGGCGTTCTCTTCTCTTTTGCAGCGACTGGCCTTCGATTTTTTTTATATACACCATCAGTAAATTGAGATTCACATTCAGGATCAATTGTCCACCATGCTCCTTTACCAGGTTCATGATCATTACGTGGGACTTTAACAAAAGCTGAGTTTAATGACAAATTATGACGAATAGAATTCTAAAAAAAAAATAAGATAGTTAGATAGTTAATAAAGTAATTTAAACCGAATAATAATAATAATATTATTATTATTATTGACTTAAGCTACATACCTGCCATCCATTTTGAGCAATTTTATAATAAGGATATTGTGTCGTTATCCAATTATATATTGCATTAAGTGTCATCCTCTTAGAAGGAGCTGATTGTATTGCTTGAGCGATTAAAGAAGCGTATGAGAAAGGAGGTTTAATTTGTCTCGATTGATATTTTGATGTGTCAATCTTTTCAATAGCATGTTGTTCAATAAGATCTTCTTGAGTAGAGGTAGAAGAAGTAGAACCACTTCTTTGACTAACATTTGATGAACCGATTCCACTGTCTAATGAATTAACCTTATTAGTAGTATATCCATGTGAATATTCCTGACTGGTAGTATTAATATATCCATTTGAATAACTTTGACCATTTTCTGATGGAGAGTCATGGTCGAACGTTACTTCTTGATAAGTTGTTTTACCGGTTATATTATACGTGTCATTCTCAGTATTAGTAGACGTAACAACCTCACCATCCATTCTTGGGAGTAAAAATGAGAACACCACCTCGCCAATTTGAATCTTCGTCCTAATTTATAGATTTATTTCAAATTAGTCGCGCGTTAGTAATGACGAAAATTTTTTTTTTTTTCAGAGCACATTATATTTAAAATATGAAAAGATTTCTCGATATTTTTTCTTACGTTACTCATAACGAAATGGTAAACTAAGTCAAATATTTAGTCAAAATAATATACATTACGCAATGTAAATAACTTATTACGCGCTCATGCACTTTGGAATTATAATTAAAACCTATATTTAAAATAAGAACCAAAGAAAAGATAAAAGAATACCTATTCTCTAGCGGTACTGTAACACCTTTTTCACAAAAGACTTCATTAATGTAAGCACCATTCTTCCCGAAAATCATCAGTTCAAAGTGTTGTTCTTGAAAATTGTAATAAAGTCGCGCGTGTTGTCTTGATATTGCTTTAGTTGAACCGAGGTGTATATCAACCTGATCCGAACCACTTGTTTTACGTCCAAGAATTACTTGTAGCGTTTTAATGTAATAACAAAAGTTGTCACCTTCAAGTTTAGCGTAAGCTTGTATTGGTCCATTATCCATTTCTTAGAAATATCTTTGCGTGCGAAATGTTTAATGGAGAGATATTCACTATAAAGCGAAAAAAAAAATTAAGGTTTGATAATAATGAAAAAACAAATTCAACGCCACGGAAATGTGATTTTCTTTTTTTTTTTTTGAA